CTGCTTTCAAATGATTTGGTTAGGAGCCGGGAAGGAGAGTAGACAAAACACCCTCTGCTCACAAGGTACATTGGGAGGATGCAGGGAAGAGCAATTACTAGAGTCCATGAGCAAGACCACATGTCAAACCAAGTCCACAGAGCCCCAGGCAGGCTGGCACTCAGAACTCTGAATCCAGATTTCAGCCCGATGGGAGCAGAGACCTGAGGGAGAGAAGTGGGAAGTGGTGAAGGAGGACGGGACAACAAACAGAGGTACGCTTGGGAAATCTGGACATCATCATCACCAACAGGATGTGGCTATGTGATCTGAATGGGCAGGCCTGTTGGCTGAATGCATCAGCTGCTTGCAAGACACCTTATGCTCATTCAACATTCCCCTCCTTCTGTCAGGAAGAGTATGGCTGGCTCCCTGCATCATTCTGGGTGAGCTATCTCTCTTGACCACTCCAGTGATCCTGCGCACCCTTGCCAGCATCCCAAGGCTGGGAGCTGTCTTTGTGCCTACTGTGGGGCTGGCGTTTTATCCCCTGGGAACCCTTCATAGAGGTTGGGCTATGTGAGTGGGTTGCTGACTGATGACCAACAGCTGAGACTTGCCAGGAATGCCAATGATCATTGGAAGGTGGTGGTAGTATGGCTGCATGGAGGGGAAATTGGAGGAATAGTGCCCCAGGACGAATCAGCTTAGACTCTACGGATGAAGGGCTTCTGTGGACATGCCTTGAAAATGATCCAGCTGGTGTCCCTGACTCAGATGGCCTCCTGTGGCTTCTGAGCTCTTGGCACACAAGGGGACAGGTGACTTGGGGCTGTAATCACTGGCCTGTGTTGCCACCAGAGACTGTCTGGGGTAGAGGGCTGGCCTAAGGTGTGGACATGGGTAAGTTGGATGGAAACCCTGTGGAGATGGTACCTTTCATTGTTAGCTAACAGAATATGTGGGGTCCAATGCAAGAAGCATCACACACCATTCTGTTGGGAGCATCTTTACTTCCGAGACAGTGTTTGGGCCTGAGGAAAAGGCATCTGCAGTTACCCTGTCAGTGGTATTTTCCACAAGAATTCTGAACTGATGCAAGCAAAGGTAAGGGAACTGTGGGTTTCTTCATGGAGGCAGGAGGCTCAGGCAGGGGAAGGTTCCACGCTTTGAGTCAGCAAATTACCATGCCTGGTAATTCATCCATTCATTCAGCAACATTTTGTTGAATACATGTTGAGGAAACATCAGGTAACAAAACAAAGTGGCAAGACCCTTAATCCAGTCTGTGGAGGATAGGGGAGATGATGAGGTGGTACGAGTCACTCATCTGAGCCAGGGAGGCCAGGAAGGCAGAGCCAGACTTGGGAGCAGGCCATGCACAAGAAAGGGAGGAACAGCCTATGACTAGACCATCAAGCTGGCCTTCTATGACACTATCAATCTGGTTTTCTTCTTTGATGCTGCTTGTGGGTAAAAGCAACTGCCACTTTCTGTGCCTAACTGCTTTTGTTAATAGAGAACATGCTCATGGTTGGCAGATGCTCACTTCTGCTCACCTCGAGTCACTTCTACTAAAGGAATGGTTTCACTGTAAAAGCACAGGAAGAAACTTTTGGGAATGATTAATATATTTTGCACATTCACTGTGGTTGTGGTTTCATGGGACTATATATGTGTCAAAACTCTTTGAATTGTTTCTTAGTATTTCAGAGAAAAAGTAAGCAGGAAATCAGGAAGAATATAGAGGACATGATTAAAATAAAAAAAAAAAAAAACACCACATCCAGCAATAGCAGAATAAACATTCCTCTGGAGTGTGCATGAAATATTTACCAAGATAGATGGCATTCTGGGCCATAAAACAAACCTTACAAATTGAAAACATTAGAAATAATAAAAAGCAACTTCTCGAAGATGCTTCTTGAAGACCATAATGTAATTAAGGTCAGAATCAAACACAAAGATAAGTGAAAAAATGCTCATATATTCGAAATTTTAAAATGTGATCCTAAATAACCTATGGATCAAAGATGGAGTCTTAGGAGAATTTTATAATATACATTAAGTTGAATGAAAATAAAAATATACATACAAAATTTTGAGGGATTCAGCTACAGGAGTCCTTGAGGGAAATGTATAGCATATTTTAAATGTTTATATTAGAAAATGTAAAATCAATAACCAAGACTTCCACCCTACGAAACTAAAGAAAGACAAGTTGAATTTAAAGAAATTGAAGAGGATCCCAAACTTCCACCTCTTCCCTCCTTCCTCCCTCCCCACCATCCTGGATTGCACGCGCACACACACACATACAACACACACACACAACACACACACATCATCATCATCATCATCATCATCATCCTTATCATTTTGCAACAGGTTATTTTATTTTGATCACCACAGGGTGTACCCTGTGGGGTGTGAAATGTACTCTAGACTCTGTTGGCTATTTATTTGGGGTTAGACCTCTGGAGACTTCTCAGGTAAATCTGAGGTGTCAGGTCTTGCCCGGAAATTACTGGTTGCCCAGTGAGACACTGGAGATGGTGGAGGTCTCCTTGCTTTGGTCCAGCTGTGGCTAATTTTGATTGGGTTCCTCATTCAGCTGCTTGCAGAGGCTGGAAAGTTTTGGCCTGCTTCCTTCCTCAGGTTTTCTTGAAGCAGTGATCTTTTTTGGAGAGTTTTTTTTTTTTTTCCTGGAACTCCTTCAAACGGTTCCTTTTCCCTTCCTGGTTGTCTTAGGAACGTGGAAGGACAACTGAGAGATCACAGAAGGGCACTACTTTTGGAAAAGAGGTTGAAGAAGAGGTGGGAGCAGGGGCTTCAGCAGAAGGGGTACAGCCTGGGGTGGGGGTGTGCCAGCCAAGGACAGGGTAAGAGTCTTGGGAGGGAGGAGTCAAGGGGAAGACTAAGAGGAGCTTGGGTGGTTCTCTCACCTTGATAGGACTTCTGGACCTAGTTTGATAGGGGGTTTTCCTGTTCCTTGCCCCTTTAGTGATGGTAGGTGGTTGTTCTTCGACACCTGGGCTGGAGGCTTGTGGTTTCCTGGACGTCTTTGCCATGTCAGTGTCTCTCAATTGTCTACTCCATACCTCCTGGCCTCCCTATATATACATCTCCATCCCCCGTGACAATGAATCCATACTCCTGAGCTTTTATGGATCAGCAAGCCACTACCTAGCCAATGGTGGATCTTGGGGGGTGAGGGGCTTAGATGTCACAAAGCACCATAAGGACATTGTTGTGGGCAGGAGGGAAGAAGGGGAATGGCAAGAGGGAAGAGGGGAGTTTGATGACAAAGCCAGGATGCTCTGATTGAAGAAAAAAGGGACATTTCTTTAGCATTCCTAAAGAGCTTTCCCAAACTGAGTAGCCTTGCTCCTTTCTTCCCCTGTTCAACTTGGGTGGGTCATATGGCAGGGAGAGAGTATTTCCTCTAAGCCTTTCCTCAAAGTCACCCATTTCAGTGCTTCCTTCTGTTTTCACCCACCATTTACCATTATCTAGTTTTTGTACATCTTACCGGAAATCTCTCCAAGGTAATATGGCTGTATTGAAGTTAATGTGTAGGTGTGAATCACCCTACTTCCCTCCAAAAAATTTCTCTTATGCATCTTGAAGACCACTCACTTGGCTACTGTCAAGGAAGTTTTCCATCCCACCAATGGAAAAGTAGCCATAGAAGTCTCCTGTGGTTTCTTTTTTTTTTTTCGCTTCCACTTAAATTGCATGTTTTATTTCTCCCAATCCCAGCAAGAGCACAGAAGCCCCATCATATCCATCCCAAACTGGTTTCAAGTAGGTTAAGGTTATAGGGACCCTTGTCAGAACATCGATACAAAGGGCTCCCAAACGCTGGGCACAAATATGTCTGCAAACAGATGGAAGTAAACAGTGCACTGGCTCAAATGCTTCATGAGTCAGTTTGATTTTGCAATGCAATTTGCATCCTTGAAACTGCCAGTCTGGAGGGGGACAAGGTAGCATGAGGGAGTGAAGTTGAAATTGCCTCCTATTAGCTCACCCTTTCAACATTAAACAGAGACCAAGAAAGAAATGGTTCCAACATTTCACCACATGTATTTCTTCTTATGCAGTCTAAGCTGAGAATGCCATGTAAATGGGTCACTGCAAAATGCAGCAATTCAATTTTTTCTCCAATCAAAATAAGAAACAAACAGTATGATCTCACTTCTATTAACTTTTGAAGGTTTACAGCAGTTAAAGTATTTTTGCTTCTATGTATGAAGGTTAAAAAATCATTTTTTTTCATAAAATACAAAAGCAACCAATTTTGCCATAGAGTAAAAGTCAAAACTGGGATTCTTTTTTAAATTAGTCCAAAGTGGCATTTAGGAACAAATGTAAAGTGTAAAGTGACAAACCAAAGTGTAGGGTTGGGTCTGGTTTTGTTTCGGTTTCTTTTCAATATCCAATGCTCATGGATTAAGTTCTGGAAATGTTCCAATTGTAAGGCAGGGATCTGTTTGGATTCCACCATGGGTATGCTCCTTGGGTTGGATGCTGGAGGGTGAGGCACGTTTTGCTGGACCCATGTCGACTATCTAGTAGTCATCAAGGTCAAAAAATTCATCGTCTCCTCCTTGGTATTCCATTCCCTGGAAATCTACTCGGTACCGCAAGATACCTCCAATTCCACCAAAGCCTTTCACAAACTGAGACCCTTCTTGTGATTTATCTGTGACAATTTCCAACATAGCTCCAAATTTTTTATAGTTGTTAGCAAACCATTCCAACAGGGGCATGCTCTCAATACGCTCATGTTCCTGTCTGGTCTCTTTGTCTGTGAAATGAGATTTATCCTTTTCTTGCTCTGGAGTTAGATAGAGAATGTTCTCCTCTTCTGTGCCTTGGCAATGAAGAACATATCTCATTATATCCAGATTTTCATAGACTATTAGAATTTCTACAGCTCCCATTTCCAAAGCCTTTAGTGTATCTTCAATGCCAAAACAGTATTTGCCCGTGTCCTAGCTGATTTCATCAAAGTATCATCCTATTAATTTCTTCTCTTGAATGAATTTCACGTTGGAGAGGACTTCAGTAGATAACTCAATAGCTTGGCTGAATCCATTTTCACCACCATAGGATATATCAACTAATTTTAAAACTTTTGGCTGTAACCTCTGATCAAACATATCAGATTGACTTAGTTCAGTTTTAAAGTCAGCAGATCCAGCTAAAACTAGACCAGCCGCATTCACTTTGTCCCCAGAAATAAACAGCTGCACAGCGGTTTCTGCTACTTTCCGAACATAGTTATGTTGCTTTTCCATTCTTAAACGGGCAAAACGCAAATCTAAGTGACCTCCTCTACCATGTTTCTTTGGGAGATCCACAGTGAATTTGTGCAGGACTTCTCTTGTGTTTCCTTGGAGTGTGCCAAAAAGTGCACCACTACCATCTATTACAATGAATCCAAACTTGCTATCATCTGAAAGTAGTGCTATAAGAGCGTCTGTATGGAATTTGTTGTCACACAAATACAATGATGTATTAACTGGTTCGAAAGGTTCAAAGTCAATGTTGACTTTCTTTTCCTTTCCTTCTTCTGTTACAATTGTTCCATAGTAAACAACCAGACCATTTGGAGGTACTTTGTTATAAAGTTTGAGTCTTTGTTGTACAGATGTAATGGCTCCCAGGACTGAAAGGCGGTTTACTCATGAGTTAATGTTAGATGCAGTTCCAAACTCATCTGCCAACAATTTTGCCACTCGTGAAATCTGGTCTTTGGGAGGAATAATCAAGGATATCATGCTGGTGCCACTGCCGCGGGCTACCTCCAAGCTCTTAATGAGCTTCTTGATCTTCCAGATCTCCACGTTCCTGTCGGCAGCACTGGGGTCGTCCGCCATCTTCTCGCCTCCTCCTCCCTAAGGGCCCAGTACTGGGCGGCAGCAGCTGCTCCTCCGCGGCGGCGGCGGTGGCTCTGACGTAGGACACTGGCCGGGGTTTCAGTTTTTCTCAGTCTGAAATCGCTGCTTTCAAGCTGTCAAACTCCAATGAATACATTCGCTCCACTGGATATCTTATGAGTCTTTTTTCAACTGTGGGGTCATGCTCATCTCAGTAGATGTAGTACCCAGGCTTGGATTTTAACAGTGTAGAGTGAATTAGGCCTCTTTTCATGTCATAAATTATGCAGAATATTTGCAAGTAGAAAACTAAAATCTAAGACTGATGAGTTCATGGGACAGGGTGGTGTTGAGTAGAATAGTTCAACAATGTGCCTGAGGATCTGTCCAGTGTAATAAGTTTTTTGTTTTTTGTTTTTAAAAAGGTCTCCATATTGGAAAGGGACAAGTAAAGCTGTCTTTATTTACAGAAAATAAGAGTATATGCAGACAACTCTATCAATCTAAAAATGCTTCTAAAACTAATAAGAGTTTAGCAATGTCACTGAATATAGATCATTATACTTGTATTTTTATACTAGAAATGAGCAATTGGTAATTGCTACAAAAGCAATGCAATGTAAAATAGCATTGCATTGCTTTTTTCACACGTAACATTTATTTTTACAAAATAAATATTAAGTGGATGAATATGACAGAAGTTGCATAAGATCTGTCCTTTGAAAACTAAAACATTACAGAGATAAATTTAATGAGGATCTAAGTAAATAGAGATACAAACTTTATGCATTAGTCAAAGGACTGAATATTAAGATGCCATTTGCCCTCAAAGTTTTTGATAGATTCAATGCAATAAAAATCAAAATTCCAGAATTTTAAAAATAGAAATAGTAAGGCTTACTGTAGCATTCATATAGAAATGCAAATGTCTTAGAATAGACAAAGAAAACTTTAAAAAAATAGAACAAAGTTGGGGAAGGTTATCCTAATTCATTTCAAGGATTATAAACTAACAATGATCAGGATAGTGTGGAATTGTCATAATTATAGCAGTATATCAATGGAGGAGAATAAAGTCCAGCAATGGATTCATATGTATATGCATATATAGACAACTAATTATTGATAAGGATGCAAATGAAAACTAAGAAGAGAAATGATAGTGTATTCAATAATTTGATCTATAACAGTTGTATATCCATAAGTAAAACTAAATTTCAATCCATACTTTACCTATCTATCTATCTAAAAAGGGAGAGAGATAAAGAAAGATATTTTAAGGAATTGTCTCAGGTGATTATGAGGTCACATATGTTCAAAATCTGTAGGAAAGGCCAGCAGGCTAGAAACTGACACAGTATTTTTATGTTCCAATCTTGTGGTAGAATTCCTTCTCCAGGAAACCTTGGTCTTTTAAGAACTTCAACTGATTGGATGAGGCACACCCCCATTACGGAGGTAAGCTGCTTTCCTTAAAATCAAGTGATTTTAAATGTTTATCACATCTACAAAATACCTTCAAAATACCTTCACAGCAACATCTAGGCTAGTGTTTGACCACACAACTGAGTACTATAATTTAGACAAGTTGACACATAAAACTAACCATTGAACATGCCTTGCCCCACACAAAAATGTTAACTCAAAATGAATCATAGACCTAAATGTTGAAATTATTTTTTTCTAGGAGAAAACAGAGGAAACATTTTGTAACCTGGGGTTATATCATAGTCAGCTTTGGCTTCCATAACAAAATGACACACATTAGAAATTAATTGTTTTCACAGTTTTGGAGGCTAGAAGTCACAGATAAAGGACTGGAGGGGTCAGTTACTTATTCCCGGCTTGCAGATGGCCCGTTCTCATTATGTTCATTCTTGTCCTTTCATCTGTGCATGTGCATGGTGAGAGGGAGAAAGGGAGGGAGGGAGCAAGAGAGGGAGGGGGGAGAGAAAGAAACACACAAACACACACACACACACACACACAGAGCTCTCATGCAAGCACAAGAGTGCTTTCCTGTGTCCCTTCTTACAAGCACGCTAACCTTGTGGGATCAAGGCCCCACCCTTATGACCTCTTTTAATATTAATTACTTCCTTAAAGGCCCCACCTCCAAATACAGACACACTGTGGCTGAGGGCTTCAAAATGTGAATTTGGTAGAGGACATAAGCATTAGCAACGAATAAACACATAGATTAATAAAACAGAATAGAGCTCAGAAACAAACTGGCACACATATAGTCAGGTGAATTGAAACAAAGGCAATAATGGTAAAAATATAGTTTTTTCCAATAAATCGTACCTGAACAATTGGACATCTATACACAAATAATAATAAAAATAATAATAATAACCTAGACATATCCGTACAAATTTCACAAAAATTAACTCTAAGTACATCATAAATCTAATGCAAAATGCAAAAACCACACAACTTCTATAAGAAAGCATAAAAGCATAACCAAAAAAGGGATAAAGACCAATGGAAGAGAACAGAGGCATTGGAAGTAATGCCACATACCTACAACAAATCTTTGACAAACCTGATAAAAACAGGCAGTGGGGAAAAGATTCCCTGTTTAATAAATGGTGTTGGGAAACCTGGCTAGCTATGTGCAGAAAGCTGAAACTGAACCCTTTCCTTATACCTTATACAAAAGTTAACTCCAGATGGATTAAAGATTTAAACATAAGACCTAACACCATAAAAACCCTAGAAGAAAACCTAGGCAATCCCATTCAGGACACAGGCATGGGCAAGGACTTCATGACTAAAACACCAAAAGCAATGCCAACAAAAGCCAAAATAGACAAATGGGATCTAATTAAACTTAAGTGCTTCTGCACAGCAAAAGAAACAATCATTAAAGTAAACCGGCAGCCAACAGAATGGGAAAATATTTTTGCAAGCTACCCACATGACAAAGGGCTAATATCCAGAATGTACAAAGAACTAAAACAAATATACAAGAAAAAGACAAACAAACCCATCAAAAAGTGGGCAAAGGATATGAAGAGACACTTTTCAAAAGAAGACACTTATGTGGCCAATAGACATGAAAAAATGCTCATTATCACCAGTCATTAGAGAAATGCAAATCTAAACCACATTGAGATACCATCTCACGCCAGTTAGAATGGCGATCATTAAAAAGTCAGGAAACAACAGATGCTGGAGAGGATGTGGAGAAATAGGAACACTTTTACACTGTTGGTGGGAGTGGAAATTAGTGCAACCATTGTGGAAGACAGTGTGGCGATTCCTCAAGGACCTAGAAATAGAAATTCCATTTACCCAGCAATCCCATTACTGGGTATATACCCAAGGGATTATAAATTGTTCTATTATAAAGACACATGTATACGTATGTTCATTGTGGCACTGTTTACAATAGCAAAGACTTAGAACCAACTCAAATGCCCATCAATGATAGACTGGATAAAGAAAATGTAGCACATATACACCATGGAATACTATGTGGCCATAAAAAAGGATGACTTCATGTCCTTTGCAGGGACATGGATAAATCTGGAAACCATCATTCTCAGCAAACTGACACGAGAACAGAAAACCAAACACTACATGTTCTCACTCATAAGTTGGTGTTGAACAATGAGAACACATGGACAGAGGGAGGGGAACATCACATACTGGGGTCTGTTGGGGGTGGGGGGCCTAGACAAGGGATAGCAGGTGGTGAGGATAACATTATGAAAAATATTTAATGAAGGTGATGGGGCGATGGAGGCAGCAAACCACCATGGCATGTGTGTACCTATGTAACAATCCTGCAAGATCTGCACATGTACCCCAGGACTTAAAGTAAAATTTTAAAAAAAGAAAGCATAAGAGAAAATCTACATAAATTTTAGTTTAATTATGAGATTAAAAATTCAACACCATAAGTGTCATCAATGAAGGAAAAATTAGCCAAGTTGGACTTTATTAAAATAAAGATCTTGTGCTTTTCAAAGATAGAGTTAAGAGAATAAAAACAGAAGCTACAGATTAGCAGAAAACATCTGTAATACACATATGTGATAAAGAACGTGTCTCTACAATATACAAGGGTTCTTAAAACTCAACAATAGAAAATAAATGAAAATACCTGAAGATCTGAACAGTCACTACACCAAAGAAGATATACAGATGGCGAATAAGCATAAAAAGGTGCTGAACGTCCTTTGTCATTAGAGAATTGTGTACTAAAATGAGATACCACTACACACCTATTAGAATGTCTAAAATAATAAAAAAGACCAATTGCTAGTGAAGATGTGCATCCCTATCCCACCCCCAAACTCATCCCTACCCTCACCCTTGGTATAGCCCCTTCCTGACAGAATCCAGTTCCACCCAGGTTTTCAACCCAGGGAAGCCACGGGTGCCCAGATGTGATGCCACTGACTTGTGCACTGGGGATTAGAGAGAAGCCAGCTTCTTGGTCTGACGAGCGGCTTGGGATTGGCAGAGGGAAGCGGGCCAGGCTCTGTGAGGAGGCAAGGTGAGACGCCGAGGAAGGACTCAGGAGGCCCTCACCCCAGGTAGACGACCCCAAATAATCCAGCACCACTCATGCTGCCAGCCCTGGACCACCTGGGGGAAGACTTCTCAGGCTGAGTCATCCAGCGCACCCTGCCAACCCCTGCCACTTAAGCCTCAGGGGACTCTGGAGTCAGAGCTTGGTGTGACCAAGGAAGGGCTGGTTAGGAGAGGGCAGGGCTCAGGCTCTTCCAGGCATTAACATCAGGACTTTAAACCAGGGCTGAGGGCCCTGCATCCCCATTCTTAACTTAAGTCACAGGGGATTCTGGAGACAGAGCTTGGTGTGACCAGGGCAGGACTGGTTAGGAGAGGACAGCTCCAAGATTCTGCCAGGAAACAAAGTTAGGAACCTAGGGGAGAGCTGAGGGTACTCCCATGCCAAACTTCATTCCCATCCCTACCTCCCTCCCCCACTTACATCTCCATTCCCCCACCCTCCACTGTTGGCA